AATATGAATTCATAGAGGAAATTTTAAAACAAAAGAATCTAGGATCAATTGCGTATGCGAAAAAATCCAGCTATCGGCTTACATCTACGATGCAAATGTTTGGCAATATGGCGGATGCATTTAATATTATCATAAGTTGTTCTGTTAATGATAAAACATTTTCACAATTACTTGCCGATCGTCTAATTGATGAAGGTTATTTAGTACATGTCAATCGTTATAATGCAACAACTGCTATAATACGACAGAAATTTCAAAAATCAGATTTAATACTTGTTCTTTTTAGTCAAAATTATACAACAGATGAAAATTGTTTGGCAGATTTAAAATTTGCACAAACAATTAGAAAAAAAATTCTTCCAGTCTTTTTAACAAAAAATTTCTTAGAACAAGACTGGATTCACTATATTACTACTCAAGAATTATATTATGAATTATTTGGAGAAGAAATTCGATTCGAGTTAGATGAGAATTTTGATTTAAAATACGACAAATTATTAATTGAAATAGTAAGTTTTAAAAAAATGTCTATTATATCAATTGAATATTAGTATACTACGATGTCTGATATATTTTCATTTACTCTCCCCATTGTAGAGTAGAATCATGCAGTCAAATCAGGTATCTGGTACTCGATTCGACCATATCTGAGACTTCGACATTTCAACATATTTTTACTTTTTCAAACTGCTATATATAGAGCGGGTCGCAAAATTATTCAACAAGGTGTAATTTGGATATTTTTTTGTAGCCTTAGGTGCTAGAAAGAATCCGAACAGTGATTTGAATAGAGAATATTGTTGTCAACAAGAATTCGAGAAAATGATAATCGTCATGAATTTTCCCAAAGTAGAGTTTCGGGAAAACCAAATTTCTGGTTTTTCAATATCCAAAAGCCACAACAGAAAACTTGTTTTAATAGTCCAGAATTATAGAGCAGCCAATTCTCTACAAAATGAGACGTCTCCAAGCTTTCTACGATCTTCTCTTCAAAAGTTATAAGCGTCGTAAAAATCGAAAAAATTCGTTTTTTAGTCGATTTTCTCATAATTGCACTTTTTTCGATTTTTGTGATGCTTACAACTTTTGAATGAAAGGTCATAGAAAGCTCGGAGACGTCTCATTTCGTAGAGAATTGGATGCTCTATAATTTTGAACTGTTAAAACAAGTTTTCTATTGCGGCTTCTCGATGTTAAAAAAACCAGAGTTTCGGTTTTCCAGAAACTCTGTTTTGAGAAAATTTATGACGGTTGTCTTTTTCTCGAATTCTTGTTGGCTACAATATTCTCTATTCAAATCATTATTTGGATTCTTTCTAGCACTTAAGACTACGAAAAAAAAATCCAAATTACACCTTGCTGAATAATTTTGGGACTCACTGTACCAAAGCATAGAAATAAAAACCGATTAAATTATGATTGAACAATTTATTGTACTTGAGAATAGGTCACAGAGATAGAATGTGAAATTGTTTTAATAAAATAATTCTTTTTTTATAATGAAAATTTGTCTGAAAATGATGAGAAACCATATGACGAAGTTACTTTAATAAATGTAGAGAAAAATGAGTTATCTAAAAACAAGTGAACATGGAACTATCGTGATAAAAGCAACATTCATGTATGTATTCCGAATCATGTCATCTAGTACCAACACTGTGTTCCATTCTAATGGATGTGGATGTGAGTAGGTTTTCACTGAGAGATTCATCCACATAGTCGCTCCGCTATGGACATCTCTAATTTGCAATCGATTTCATAACAGAATAAGTCTCAAGGTAATCTACTATTCATGTTTCAAAATAAGACCAATGGATGTATCTGAGTTTGAATAACAACATAAAGAGCAATTTGGAAAATATTTTCTTGTCCTTAAAAGCACTCATTTCAGCATACGTTGCATCTATTGATGTGAGCATTATAACGATTTCTTTTGTAAAATGAATATCAGTTTCAAATAAAAGTTATCGATGCTAAAAGAAGTTAGAAATGCTTTCTCAACTCATGATACTAATTTTCAATATAATAATTGAAGTTTTCTATTCAAAATTTAGCATTCATTAGTAGCTAATTAAGTTTAATTTGAGAAGATTTTTTCTATTCTTTTTTTTTCTTTGAGCTTCATCATACAAAACCGGGTCTAGTTGGTCATACATATTCAGTATCACAAAATGTTTTTAACGAAGATCAACAACAACAACAAAAAACATCTGAACGACAAAATTCATCATTACAATTAACTACCGAACAAATAGAACAACGAAGAAAAATTTATAAAGAAAAAGTGAAAGAATTAATTGAACGACAGAAGATTCCAACTGATCTTTTAGAAGAATTCATTAAACTTGCAAACATAGTCATCAAAGATTACAAGAATGGTGGTTTTCGTTATGATGAAAATAAATCCCGTGACGAAGGTAAACTATTCTATTCTATTAACTCACAAATTTTGGATAGATGAAGATTTTTTGTTCGTTTCTAAAACAAGAAAATAAAGAAAAAATAAAGTTAACATAGTGTTGTAGAACGACATAAAAGATATCATATGTAAAAACCATTTTTTTTTTGACAAAAATGAAAATATTCTCGTAATTTCTTTAAGTGATTAAAGTTTACGATGAAAAATATTTAGCTATGATCAAGAAAGAAACCATAACATTTCATTTTAATCTTTCTCTACAAAACTGTATTTCAGTCAACTATCTATAATATGTGTTCATATAGATCATATTGATTTACAGAGAGAAGTTGAAATTTTTAATTTGCAGCATTATTCATTAATTTTTTAAATGATTGGTTTCTGATATGTTTAGAATTTTGTATATAGACACATATCGAATATATATTCATATTTATGAAACATTTTTTGTTTTTTGTTTTTAGAAAAAACATATGAACTTAACGATTATACCATCGTATTCCTATCATCTATCGAACGTTGGATAGAAAAAGCATCGAATGGAAGTGCTATATTGGGTAATATACCACCATTTACTTTAACTGGAGATTTCAATGATGCTATATTTCCAGTTATATACAAAGATAAAGAAGCATGGTGGACAAAAAATGTATATCCACCTTTAGACCATATAATAGCGAACGATGATAGGAATTACTTAGCATCTATCATTGGTTCATGGTATAATCAACGTGAAGCATCTCATTATTTTCAAAAACTAATTGATCGAGATGTTCAATTACGAGAAAATAGAAAAGATAAAGTTCCAGAAGTTGTTCAACATATTATTAACGATAATAATAGATTAGATATGAAGCTTTTCAAAGCCATTAGTTATACTGATTTTACAACAGAAATTAAAAAAGGTACAACTGGTTGGGATATTACACAAGATAGTTTAATACTGAAACAATATCGTGTAAAACAAAAGAACAAGATCACGGAAAAATCTAAAAAACCAACAGTTTGGAATCGTATAATAGAACAAACTGTAGAATTAATAAGAAATATTAATGAAAATAAAATTACTTCAGATTCGAATATTTTACAAGGAAAAATTGGAAATGAATTGAAAACAAGAAAAGAAATACGAACACAAAATGAACTTGATAATCCAAATAATAAACGTTGGAAAACTAAACATCGATCTCCACATCGAGCAAATTTTATTCAACAGCAAATACAAAATATAATTGAATTCGAGAAATTTTGTAATACATCATCAAGACAATCAATAAAAACAAACTAATTAATTTATTATTAAACATACAAATTTTTTTGCCATTACACTCTAATGAATTTGATTAATTTTGTAAGGTAATAAAAAAAAAAGAAAATCAAAACTCTTGTTTTTTGTTTATAAAGGATCTGCATTCGGTAATTCTTAATTCGCAGAAATGGTTGTAAAACAGCCTATTCTCTAGAATTAAATACTAAAATTACTTCGTGAAATTTTATTTTCAAACATTAAAATGATCACATCTTCTAGCATAAGACTGTATTCTCAGTATCTACATCAAAAGGATATACTCTCCAAAGTGTAGGACTCTGAAGAAAATTATATATTACAATACAATAAGTCTTTAAAAGTAGATAAAAGACATTGAAAAGTTAATCATTCGAGCTCACATTTTCACAATCAATAGCTTAAAATTAGATCGAAACTATTTGGGAGTTTGAATCTTTTTCTATTCGCATTTCTTTTTCTTTGAGTCTTTCCATCTTTTCAATGCTTGCTTGCTATCTATGAACATATGAAAAAAGAGAGCTGTGAGTTAATATTACTTCTTTAAAATTAGCAGACGTTATGAATTAGGCGTGTATCGAAATCAAGACTCTCATATCTAGCAACATGTTATCGTATCTGACATCGTCGTTTTTCATAAAAATTGACCCGATGGTAGTCAAGGATAGAGCATCCAAATTTGAACTCATTCTCACAATTTGACGACTTCGAACGGATATCTAGATTTGATTCTCACGGAAATTAATGAGAGGAATCAGACCTCAGCTGAAAAGTCACGAGAATTTTAGTCCGAGCCAAGAGTCCAAATTTGAAATTTCTTTGACCGAAATTCATGTAACTCCTTAGAAAATTGGCGTCTCATTAATGTCACCTTTTCAAATTCCTGATTTCTCGTATCTTAAATGCGTATCATGTTCCTAAACAACTTCTACCAATAATAAAAAATCTAACTTTACGTATAATGGATGGCACTTAGATAATGAGGCACTTTTGTAAGCATTTTTTTGTCTTCTGTAATTTCTGGACAGGGTGGGTGTCCATAGAGGGTGAACAGAAGATGCTCGCTCAGATCGAGATTCATATCTATGTCAATACTATGACGACTGTGAAATTTGAAATAATTTTTTTTTGAATGGTATTGTAGCAGTAGGAACTTTTCTTATTGTTCATCTCGGCGTAATATCATGCTGCAGATATTTCTAATCGCACTTAATAACTATTTTAATGTAAATTGAGCTATGTTCAATAGTATACTTTAGATAAACAAAAATAGGATATATTTTTCTTTATATTTAAATGGATTTAATACTTAAACGACCATTAGCTATTATTCATCAACTTCAAAGACAACATTCATTTTTAACAATTGAAAATGTGAAAGAAATACTTGATGAAACTGTCTTATTTTTAAATACAACTAATAATCGAGCAAATGGTTTACATGAGTTAGCCACAATTTGTCATGAATTAGCATCAGTTCATATGCTTATACCATTCGATAATATAGAAATCATAAAACATGAATTTTTCATTATTCTTGGACGTACATTTGAAATGTTATTATCAAAAGCAAGATTAATCTCTATGACCAAAGCCGATGAACAATATTTTTATGACTTAAGTTATTTTATAGTCAATTTATGTTTACATAAAAATATAGCGGCATCAAATTTTTTTATTGCTAATAATGAAAAATGGAATCCTAACAATGAAGAAAAATACGATCCCGTATCATATCAAAAAATCTTTTTCACAAAATCATTTTTTCAAAAGTTTATTAAAATTATTACACATGATTTAATTATTAATGATTATCAACCATTTCATGTTAAATACAAAGTTACTCATAGTTTACTTCGTCTTTGTGTTGAATTAAATGAAATTGATCATAGTCTATTGATTGATCCAATTATTCAATGTTTAAATTCAAATTTTTATCTTAATACTTTTAAAGCAATTGATCTTCGTCAAGCAATTTTTAATCCTAAACAATTATTTTTTATTTGTGAATGTCCAGAATTTATTATTCAACGTTGTTTGAAACAACAAGATCAACTATCCAATTTATTATGTCTACCAATGTTGGAATATAGTCGAGATATTCTTAGACAACATTTACCAGTTTCATTAGAAGGAGAAGATTTAGAAAATATTGTATGCATAAGAGGTGCAAAAATACAAGCAATTAGTTTACATATTAAACTATTAAATCATTTTGCTTTGACACCAGCAACAAGAAGATATTTCATTATAGGTATGTGAAGAACTTTATTGAATCGTACGATTTTTATTATTAAAAATCGGACATCGGGGCACGTAAATCTATGGAAAAATTTCATTGATCAGTAATAAACCAATAGGATGAAAGCCTGCTGGACATTTTGAAGATAGCTTTTGGAACGCTTGTTTCGTTGAATTTTGAACTTCAATTAAACCATTCGATAGAAAAAATTGTTCTCTTTCGATCTACACAAGACCGAGCTCAATAGCTTGCTTCATTCGGTAGCTATAAGTATTTTCCTGAGACCTTCGAAATCGGGCAGGTGGCGCAGAATCACCCTTAAAAGAATTACATTATAGGTAATCGATCACGCTGAACTCAGTGATGATGCTTATTTTTTTATTTCAAAGTAATTTGAGATCACAGTATCGAGATTTTCAATATACATGTTCTTTAAGCCAAATAGTAGCAAAAACTAGATTTACGAAAAATTTTTTATAATGATCTCAGATTACTTTGAAATGAAAAATAAACATCACTACTGAAATCAGCGTCACCTAACCGATTTCAGAGGTCTCAGGAAAACGCTTATAGCTATCGAATGGAGCAAGCTATCGAGTTCGACCTTGTGTAGATCGAAAGAGAACAATTTTTCCTATCGAGTGGTTTAATTTAAGTTCAAAATCCAGCGAAACAAGCTTTCCAAAAGCTATTTTTAAAATGTCTAGCGGACTTTCATCTTATTGATCCATTACTGAGCAATGAAAAATTTCCATAGATTTACGTGCCCTAGCGTCCGCTTTTTAACGGTGAAAACAGCAGCTCCATAGCTACTTCCATTCCCGAGTTATTTGACTCGCAATCACTCGTCTTCTATTTTGAAATGGATGGTAGTACACTATTTTCGACTAAGGTAAAGCGCGTAAACCTTTAATGAAGCGTCGCCGAATATATAGTTTGCAAAATTAGCTCGCGTTATAGTTGACTCTTTGACCTCCTGTTATAGGAACAATCAAAATTTTCGTGTGATATCAGTGATATACGCTTTGTTTCAGCACGATAAATTTTCATTTCAACTATATCTAAAATTATTTTTTGGCTCCAATCATATATGGTTTTGTACAGAATTTCGAGGCTATCTTTTGATAAAAAAAAAGATGGCACAATTACGTCTGAAATTCAAGAGAAATTTTGAATATACTATCTGTACGTCACCAATTGTATTCAGAAAATATTGCAAGGACAAATTTGAACAGCAGATTTATCGCGTCTTTCTGAAATTATTCGATCAATATATGTAATTCGTTTTATTTGTATGAAGAAAAGTTTAAGAGTTTGAGCTTTCTTAATTTCGTAATTTTTTACTTTATCTGTAATCTACAATACAATGTACGCATTGAGACTAGAGTCCATTCATATTTCTGAGATATGAGTAAAACGATTTCAATCTTCGGATAATTATGATGGCAATATATTTTTTTTGTTTATTTTTAATTTTTAGGAAAAAACAAAAAAATCATTGACCAAATGGTTATAGTATTATCACAACCATCTTTAATTAAAAGTGTTACTCATAATCATCAATTATTTCATGCTGATGTTGGTATGGTATCATATGCAATAACTTTACTATATAATTTAATATTTGAAAAGAAAATTTTTTTTCGATTAAAAGAAAATGAAACTATTTTAGCTGCTTGTTCACAATTACAAAAAGCAAACGATCAAACAATAAAATTTGGTTCATATACATTATCTGCTATTTTAAAGCAAAAAGATATTGATGAAATAAATAATCCATCAAAAACTGCTCAAACTTATTTGTTTTACATTGAAAATATGATTGATGAACCATCACGTATATATCATGGAGTAAAATTAAATGGGGTATTAACTAATCTTGAAAGTATGTTGATTTCAAAATTTCTGATCTAAACATACATAAAACTTGATTTTTGAGAACTAGTGCTTAAAATTAAAGTTAGATTTAATAACTTTGCATATGTATAAGATGTTAAAGTTCATTCACTCTATAGTTTGAATTGAAGATTTAGTCTTTATAAATTTTCAAATAGATTCAAGAACTTCACATTATGACATTAACCTTTTTTCAATGAAATTAGTTTATCATGGATTATATTGTATTTTATTAAATTTGACCAGAATTTTTGCCTTAGAATATAAGCAACAAAACACTTGTTTATAACATAGCAGATATTTGTAAGGTTTCAGCTTTGCAATAGACCTTATAAAAATTATTGATTGATTCCAATCTTGAGCCTATTTGCATTAGAAAAGTAAGACATACAATCAAATCCATACTATATATTTTATTTCATATACTAGTTCTTTTCAATAGTAATATATAGGAAAATACTTATTGAGAATTCAGATAATAAAAGAAGCCTACGATTTCACATATCATCTTCTAAGTAGATGATTCAAACATGTGGATCCTGTTGAAAAACTTTGAAAAATAATTAAATAATGAATAAATGAGCATTATGTTCCTGTCTTCAGAATTCCATAGTTTTTCGAATTTTTCCGTCGCTCACCTCGAATATAACTTCAATATGTAATAGATTAATTCAGATACATATCGACAAGAATGAAATCATCTTTTTTACTTTAGTAATTGTTCAAAATGATCAAATTAAAGAAGAGATTGCTAATGATGATCAAGGTATACAGCTGATTGCAAAATGTGCATATGGTAAAGATTTCGATGATGATATTCGACATCCGGCTCTAAGAATTATTTTATCAGTTTCATTTGCTGGAGATGTTGCTATTGAAAAAATAAAAAATATTGATCCACTTCTTGATTATGTTCATGATGAATTTATTTCGAATAATGCAAAACAAAGATGGACAGCTAATGCAATTCAATGGAAAATTGATGAAGAAAAAAAATTTATCAAAAATCAAGAAGAAAATAAAGAAAAAGATCAAGAAATTATTGAATATATTAAACCAAGTGTTAAATTTGACGAATCAAAAGCTCTTTATCAATATATTAGAGGTGATCATCGTTTTGATTTATCTGATTTTCAAATAGAAGACACACATGTAATGATCAGTTATTGTCTTGATGATAAAGAAATATGTGATCAAATTTTTGATAAATTAAAAACAGTAAAACATTATCAACTATGGATGAATAAACAATATTTACACAGTGCTAATCCAGAAGTCGTAGCGTCAGCAATGGAGAAAGCGGATATCGTTATTATGTGTTTTTCAAATAAGTATCGAGAATCATCAGTATGTCGATTGGAAGGTGAATATGCTCACAAACGCAAACGACCATTTATTCCAGTGAGAGTCGAAGCTGGATATCAGCCTACAGGATGGTTGAATATTGTTATTGGTCAAAGAAAATGTATTGATTTCATAGACTTGAATTTTAATTTTGCCTGTCAAGTATTGATAAACGAAATCGATTATGTCAAATCAAAGATCGATAAAAAATGACGATAAGCTTGAGTGATGTTTTGAATGTATACCTCTTTATACCATCGATTGACGACAATAATTCTTTACTTTTTTTTAATATGGTTTCAACGTTTCAATTTGTAAGATCTTTCGATTCATTGTATTCATAAAACCGATAGATATAAGACGAATTTTTTATATGATTTATTATACTAAAATTTTAGAGCATGTTTCTTGAAATTGTTAATTCGTTGTAGAAATGCCCATCGCAGCCGAAAATCTGTCACATTGTAATGAAGTATTAAAAGATTTACCAACTAATGAGATTCGTTGAATCCAAAGGTGTTGAAGACCTATGGACATTAATGTTCTGTGCAAATTGAGTCAGTTTTGTACTATTCTCAGAAAAAAAAGTAGTCGTCGCTACTACCGTCACACCAGTATTGCTAAAGCACCTTTCTTATTCGAACCAATTTCGATTTTAACGGTCAATACAAATTTGAAAACTACAGTGCAGGCCAATTGAATTTTCTTCTTTTGTTTTTCTTTTGTTTTTATTGCTTTAATCCCATTATTTTTAAGCATACTATATATAGGAAGAAAGTACAAAACGAGCTGCATCTTATGGTATATTCAGCTCGAACAACAAATAAAATTTGAAAGATAAAAAGTTAATTGGAAAAAAAAATAATGTTGTTTTTTTTTCTACAATGTATAGCGTGAGTTCAGTAAATTTTGTTTGCTTATTGCTTTTATGTCAACACAAGTATATTCAATGAGTTCGGATAGTCCACACCTTATGTTTATGTAGCATCCTACCTATAAATACACTCGAATTAATAGGCAAAGGACAATAATTTTTTGTTGATGAAATATTTGAAGCTAGCCAGTTGGAAATCAAGTCATATTACGTTATGTACCATGTCAATTTGCATGCGAGAATGTCGACACTATATTATATGCTTTCCTACATATGTACGTATACACATTACAACTGATCGAAAAATATATCCACAAAAATGTATCGACAATATCTTTTTGATTTATGACAAGAGTTATGCTCGTAATCAAGCAAATATGATGCAAGTTTTACAAGCTGGTAAACGTAAATCAGTTGTGAAAATTCTTTATATGCCGACAGTATCTGCCAAGTATTTATCATCATTGGTTAATCCACTTTGGCATTCGTTTAAACAACAAATTCGAAATCAACATCTATTAGTTGCAACAGACATATCTTTACTATTACCGCAAACGTGGTACTACATATGGATCTTTTTTCTAATTAACTTTTTATCTTTCAAACTTTATTTGTTGTTCAAGCTGAATATACCATAAGATGCAGCTCGTTTCGTACTTTCTTCCTATATATAGTATGTTTAAAAATAAAGGGAATAAAGCAACAAAAAACAAAAGAAAAATAAAGGGAGAAAATTCAATTGGCACGCACTGTATATTCCATCACTATTAATAACCTTGCTCAGACTAACTTGAACTCGTTTAACATCAACAAACAAATATTCTTACAAAATGTTGAAATAAATTTTAATTATAGATAAAAGATATTAATTGTTTGTTATTTCACTTGTTGTTCTTTCAAGTCATTGGAAAACAAACAAGTAGGTTGAAATGATGCAACTATTTATTCAGAACAATTTTATTTTTATTTTACAGACGTGTAATGGCACAAAAGAACACAAAATTCAGCACAACGCCTTCGAAAAAAACAAATACAGTTTCAAAATCAACTACTACTAAGCCTTCACCCAAACCTACTAACATCCAAATACAATCTACAACGAATAATATTTTATTAGAACAATCACATTTTCAAGTTAGTGAGAAGTTTATTATATTTTGGTTAGAATCGAATTTAAACAACTTAAATGAAAAACTAATTTCTCAAATTCGATCTATTGTGAATACGATCAAATTCTTTACTGATATCGATCAATGCGTCAAGACTCTTATTGAGATTAAAGATGTAAAAATTTTTTTAATTGTTTCAAATTCTCTTGCTCAACAAATCGTTCCTGTCGCTCAACAATTCATTCAAGTTGATTCAATCTATATATTTAGTAATCATAAATCGATAAATGAACAATGGAGCAAAGCCTATATAAAGATCAAAGGAAATTTTAATCAGATTGAAGCACTTTGCAATGTACTTAAAGAAAGAGTTCATCAATTAAATAATGATTTTATACCAATTAGTATTGTTCCCGAGTCATCAATAGATAATCTGAATAGTGTCGATCCATTATTTATGTATTTTCAGTTATTTAAAGAAAATATTTTAACTATTGAATATGATTATGAAATGGAACAGCAACAACTAGTGGATTATTGCCGTCCACGTTATCAAGAGACTGAAAAAGACACAAAAATATTTGATCAATTTAAAGTAGAATATCGTCAAAAGTCGCCAATTTGGTGGTACACTGTAGAGTGTTTTCTATACAACATGCTCAACAACGCTTTAAGAACAGTTGACATTGAACTTCTTATTAAAATGGGTTTTTTCATTCAGGATCTTCATGAACAAATCAAACAACTTTATTCCGAATTAGATAGTAATAAAATTCCACCTATCGTTTTTCGAGGGCAAGGCATGCTCAATGACGAATTTGCAAAACTGAAGAAAGTTAAAGAAGGTGGTCTTTTGTCTTTTAACTATTTTCTCTCGACGAGCACCAACAGAATGGTCGCCATAGATTTCGCTGGTTCCAATAAAAATAAACCCCATCTAACATGCATTTTGTTTCAAATAAAAATTAACTCTTCTATTTCATCGATTCCTTTTGCTCCAATAAGCCATTTAAGTGCTATTAAATCAGAAGATGAAATCCTTTTCTCAATGTCTACCATATTTCGAATTGGTGAGATAAAGCAAATAGAAAATTGGTTATGGGAAGTGAATTTAATTTTAACAGGTGATAAGGATCCACTACTCACACGTCTTACTGATCACATGCGTCTTTCACTTGGAGACGGAAATGGATGGCGTCGACTTGGTCAATTAATGATCAAGATGGGAGAATTTAAAAAGGCTGAAGAAATCTATAATACACTACTCAAAAGAATATCTTGTGATGACAAGACAGAATGTGCTTTCCTTCACAATCAACTTGGATATGTTTCCAAACAACAAGGTGATTTACCTGAAGCACTTTCTCATTACACACACTCTCTTGAAATTAGCCAAAGTTCTATGTCATCTAATGATCCTCGACTCTCTAGTACATACTCGAATATTGGGGGAATTCTTAAAAAACAAGGTGAACTTGATAGAGCATTGAAATATTATGAACATGCTCTTAAGATTGATCTTGCAATGCCAGAACCCAATCCACTGGAAATTGCTATTGATTACAATAATATTGGTTCAGTATTTGATGATCAAAAAAAGTATCCTGAAGCACTCAAAAATTATAAAGAAGCACTAGAAATCAAACGTGATTATCTTCCACCTCATCATCCATCTCTTGCTACTACCTATAGTAACATTGGTTTAGTATATAGAAACATGGATGATAGTTCTACTGCACTTTTATATTACCAACAGGCACTTGAAATCCAAAACAAATCTCTTCTATCCAATCATCCATCATTAATTGTGACTCATGGAAACATGGCAGGAGCATTGGAAAGTCTTAAGCAGTACAATGAGGCTATTGAACATGCTCAAAGAGCTGTTGATATTGCTAAACATGCATTTGGTCCCAATCATGCTGAATGGCAAAAAAGAGAGAAATATCTCGAAGAACTTCAAAGAAAACGCTGATGTTTGTCACGTTTTGAGAGTAATATTTACAATTCGTAGTATACTTTCTAAATTTTATATGAATAATGATTCTTTATATCTAAAATAATGCTGAAGTGCTGCATTACTAGAATATACATTTTTAACAAAAAGAAATAAATATCTACTCAGTCTACCTGAATTAGCTGTTCAAATCTTTTTT